GTTTCTTGAAAGTGCTTTCAGGAGTAAGTTCAACTCCAATTCTTCCATAGCTTTCTGATTTTCTTCTTCCATTCTGCTTCAGTTTAATTGTTAAAAAAAAACATTGACAAACGTTGACGCATCAGACCTGATTCCTGCTTGCCTTACGTGCAGGACAAATGCTTAGATCGCCCAGAACCTTGGGGCAAGTTCGTTTCACAGTCGCGTCGAGAAAATCATATTCATCTCTCTCTCTTCTTAAAAATGATCCACATGACGACCAAGAAACCAATCCCGAAAGTGAGGAATAAGCGAGTTCCAATCAGAAGCCTCTATAGCTCAGTGGCAGAGCGTCAGTCCTGTAAACTGAAGGTCCTGGGTTCAATCCCCAGTGGGGGCTCGTCTTGCGGCTTGGTGGCGATGGTGATGGTGATGATGATGATGGTGGTGATGATGACGGTGACGGTGGTGATGATGATGATGACGATGACGATGAGAATAATGATGAGGAGGAGGAGGAGGACGACGACGACGACTGCGACCCCTCCCCTCCCCTCACAGGCGCAGCGGCGGCGCCAACTGCACAGCGGGAGCAGCAGGGGATGCGGCCGATCCCAAGCTGCCAGCACCGGCAAGAGGAGGTGCTCCGGCAACAGGCGCAGTGGGAGCGGCAGGCGCCATCACGGCAGCAACAACCGCCGGGGACGCGGCCGACCCCAAGCTGCCAGAATAGGTGGTTACATCCGCAAGCTATTGCTGGCGTCTGTGATAACCAGTTTCCTGGCCGAACTCCTTTTCCGTCTTCACCTTGGTGGCGTGCAGCCTTGCCGCCAAAGCCCGATGGCATTGAGTTTTTCGTTTCTTCCTCTCTTGATCGGCCAGCCCCGACTCCAGCTGAGCCCTTGTTTTGGCGGCCTGTTCGTCGCATGCAAGCTGAGCCTTGACCTCCCCTTCTCCTCGGAAAAGCCGTGGGCCACGAAGGTGGCTAAGTGCAGGATGCTAGCTTTGCTCTTTGGAGCCCTAAATTGTTTCGTGAAAACCCACAGTCATGGCCGCTGTTGGTTTTCAATGCCAGGCATTTGGGGAAATTTAACATCTTTTGGATGAGCATGCGACACTTGTCACAGAAACAATGGGGCTTGCCATGAGGCCACGACTCCTTAATGGCCTTGAAGGCCCAAGCAATCAACGTCTCCTTGGCTTGGGTGAGCTCAAGGAATTGGTCATGATCGCCCTTTGCATCGGGGTGGTGCAAGCGAGCAGCCTGCTTCCAGGCTTGAGTGATCAAGCGTTGCCAAGGGCCTGGTTGCTGAGCATACATTGCGAACAAATCAACATCGATATGTTGAGGTGCTTCCAAAAATGCTCCCACAGGGTTAGGCACTGGGGACCTCCTCGTCTTGCGAATCTTCGTGCGAAACGAAAAGCCCAACTCCCATCCCTACGTCAGCTGCCACCATGCCATCACCATCGGCTACCTCGGGCAATGCTGGGGCAGCATCTTCGGAGACAACGTCATACTCAGGAGTGTCCAAGTCATACCGCCACTCCAAGAACAACAACCAGCCCAACAGCCAAGAGCCAGCGCGACATGTCGGGAAGTGGCGAGAGATAGCTTTGAAAGACTGCTTGATCGCAAAATTTCTCAGGTTTATTCTGATCTCCTAACACATTTCCAGCTCCAGGATTTCAAGCACATCTACATCTCTTGTCCAAAGTTTGCATCTGTTCAAAAATGCCAGCTCTCAGAAGCCACTGATTATTGTAGTGTATCTCGATGACGTCTATCTGGATGCAGCCCGCGTCGAGGACTGTATGCAAAGGGACACCGCGGGTAGCGTGTACAGCGCAGCCAAGGCTTCAGAAAACCCGTGGCCATTTGCTGAGCTTCCCAGTGGATGGTGTTTTCGTGGCAGATAGGGCACTCGTGATTCGGTCCACCCCCCACTTCTGGGTTATAGCTGGCCAGGATTCCTGCGCACTCAACACCTTTAGGGGCTCAAAGCCCAAATTCCTGCGCAACCTTTCCAGCCAGACATGATGAACGCTAATTCCCGAATGGCCCGAATCTAAAATCTGAGCCCCCATCATGAAATCATTGAAAGGACCTGCCCTGAAGCCGAGGAGGCTCCTGAGAACCGCTGTGGCGACTGCTGACTTTGGCTGCCGCCTCGAAGACCAAAAAGAGGGTGCGGCGGAGGTTGGGGAAAACGGACTTCTTGAATTAAGCCTCGGGGTCTCTGGCTTCTGGCTTCAGGGTTGCGCGCTTCGTTCGGAGTCTTGGGCGGTGCTGGTGGGACTCTCGGGTTTACCCGAACCCGAGCCCCGAAAGGCCCTACGCCCTACACACTCAACTTCGAAGCAACGTCTGTAACTGTTTGGACTCCTAAGCCCAAGAATTACTACTCGAAGCTCAGGTCGCAGCGAGAGCTGTTCAACACCGCCACCCAAAGGCTCTGACAAGGCTAAAATCTAAACCACGCCAACATCAAAACCGGCTCAGCGCCTGCATGAGGGGGTTTGTGGTTCTGTGAGATAAAGCATTGTGCCAAGGACGACTGGAAAGCCCGACTGGTCTGAAAATTGTTTATGCCGTATAATCTTTCGTCCAACCTGCACCGTCGGCCCTCTGATCCAACCGAAGCTTTTATTCGTCAACAGCGTGTCCAACAGATGCTCTCAATGCGTGAATCGCATACAACTGAAGGAATACCTGGAGCGTAAAGAAAGGATGCTCAAAATTGCACTTCTGAGAAACAGACTCAGCATCCATCCACTGGTAGCAGCATTCCGCTATGCAGGAGATCATCCAAAATGACCGACATTCCTTCAACCCCGAATCGCCAAGCCTATAAAAAATCACCTACTTACAAGAAGGCCTCGAAGATCTCGGCTACTGCGGCCGGCCGTCGGCTGCTTCTTGAGGCCTCGGGCGAGTTTAGGATTCAGCTCGGGCCAGAAAGGCTAGAAGAGCTTCGATTCCCTAAGCCCGAAGCATTCCTGGATGTTCCGGGCGTTTGGGGCATTTCACCTTTCAGGCAACGGTCCTGCCTAACGCCAAAAGAACGGGTTTTGAGTTCTACCGACTCAGCTCGTACCCTAAACCCTGTGTGAAGCCCCACATCCGAAAAGCCCAATGCCCCCGAAAAACCGTGAACTCTCATCCTCGACTGGGATCCCCTGCGCCAGACCGGCCTGACGAAGCTAAAACACTTTTCTCTCACGGAGTTTTGGGCTTTGGGTTTAGGACTGGGGAGTTGGGGTTTACGGTTTTCGGGGTCAGGATCAGGAAGTTGGATTTTGGGCTTCGGGTTCGGGGTTTTAACTCGGGCTCAGAGTTTGGGATTCACAGTCTCGGATTGGGGATGTAATGTAGACTATAGACTTGAAATTAGGAATAACATTTCTATTGGGGTTAAGGGTTTGGTGGCCATGAGGTCGCCACTGACGCAAGTGCTCCTTTGGGACCGGCAGCGGCTAGTGGTGGCGTTCTTAAGTTGTTTATCAGCATCGGTGCTGTGTGTATGTATGTAAATATGTATAAATGTATGTAAGTAACTCTTATATATGTATGTATAAATGTATGTAAGTATATATTATATATGTATATATATATATATATACATATACATATACATATACATATACATATACATACATATACATATACATATACATATACATATACATATACATATACATATACATATACATATACCTATATATACATATACATATACATATACATATACATATACATATACATATACATATACATATACATATACATATACATATACATATACATATACATATACATATACATATACATATACATATACATATACATATACATATACATATACATATTAATTACATATTCATGTATTCATGTATGTATGGCTCTTCAGGTCGGGAGGGCAGTGATGAGCAAGACGAACCTTGCTTCCTTGCAGATGGAACCTTTTTGGCGGCGCTCGATCTTCAGCTGTCCTCAGATCTTTTGAGGAACTTGTGCACGTGAGGCATCTCAACTTCGATTCGGCGTCGCAGTTGGCCGGTCCCAGTGTTGTTGTAGGAAGCGACCGCCGAAAGGCCACGGGTTCGCACCGCGTGGAGGACATCTTCAACGACATCTGCATAGAGGTCCGTCAGAGGGGAAGTGGCTGCCGAGATCTTTGCGGCTTCTTCCTGGAGAAGGGAGAGTGACAAATAAGCAGAGACGCGGAGGAGCAGGCCTGACGGGGCCCGTTAACAAGCATGAGAGTGCGCGTGGCCCGACCCAGACCTTCCAAGGTAGCTCCTTTTCTGTTTAGCTAGTTGCAGCTAGTTTCCTGGTTGGAACCCTCAACTCAACAAGGCTTTGCAAGGCAATCAGATAAACGCACTACAGCTTAGCACCCCCGCCCCCCCACTCCTGGATCCGTTTCCGAACACGTCGAAGACAGGCCCGGCCGTCCACCTCGAAGAACTTTGCCGCAAGGAAGTCTTTACCTTAGTGACTTAGTGAGGGCTGACGCTCTGTGGAGGGTGCTGCCGCCTGCGGAAAGACGCTGCTCATGGACTTCGAAACGATGAGACTGACATTCATAAAGATTCAGCCGTTTGATGCTGTGAGCATGGGAAGACAAGTAGAAAGACGGTACAGCTTCGTCATGCTATCTCATAGACTCACCCAGAGGCACGAGCAATGCTGCACCCGCTGAACCGAATGGAGTGTCACAACCGACTCACACATGTTGCCGAGAACTGTGTATCGCGTTGTATGGTTTGCAGTTGCAGCATTGCACTTCGCTAGAAAGTTTGCAAGTCCCAGATGCTCTTACCGAGATCTGTCTTGAAGAAGTTCTTGTCTGCCGACTCCTGATACTTGATGCCGTAGTACAGGCGGCGCTCCACGTTGTGAGCCGAGATGACCTCATTGCCGATGAAGTTCATGCACTTGAGCTTCAGGCCCTGTAGGTCATACTTCCAGGAGAGTGTCATCAGCAGCTCGAGGTTCCTTGGCCCCGACAGAGCTTGAAGAGCATCCCCGATGCCTCATATCCTAAACCGCAAGCCCAGAAACCGAAACAAAAAGAGCTTCTGATAGCGATCGAGAAGTCGTTGCATCCACCGCCCTTTTGGACGCGGCCGCAGGTAGGAGGAAGTCGAGCACCACCTCAAACTCCCCAGCCGTCACATCCAAAGGCAGCCTCAGCTGGGCTATTTCTCCCGCCGTAGAGGCCGAAATAGCTTGACTCGAGTTTCTCAAAGGTGGGGTTATACGGTTACACAGAGAAGATGTTGGTGAGCTTTAAAGAGAGTAGCATGGCGAATTCTCAGCTTGGGAGATCTGCAGGGAACGTGAAAGCTCACCCAACTGGAACCACCTACCCACTCATGGGCCCTTCCAGGCACGGTAGCCTCCCACCAAAAAATAAATAGAGGCATCCATGAAACGACGACAGTCGCTTAGAGGCCCCTTTAAAGGTAGGAGAACACATTGAAGCCCAGGAAGCTCCTTCGTCTCGCCCTCCATGAAGCCTCCAGTCAGCTCACACCTGCGTGCTGTTGCCGGATTAGAGGCCTAGAAGTTAGAAGCACGGCTGGAAATTCTGAAACCATCCGAAACAATGAATCCTCACTTAGGACAACCTCCAATTACAGTAACAAAACTATATACCAAAAGCCTAACCCCTGAACTCCATCAAAACTCCCAACCCCGAAACCCCTTCAACCGCTAAAGCCTAAGCCCAACCCTGAACTCTCAACCCTCGGCACGTAATCCTAAATCCTAAACTCCAATCCATTCCAAACCCAAACCCCAGACCGCTAAACTCTTCACCTCCAAACCCTCAACCCTTAAAGTTGAAATGAAAAGAAGAAAAGACCCAACGACCTCCAGACGTCGGAGCTCAATGTCAGGAGGCTGGCTGGCACGGCATAGGGCTCCTCTCGGTCCGTCACCTCGGAGGGCGGCCCTCTGCAGAGAGTTGCTAAAGGTTAGCCTTTAGGGATTAAACGGTTATGGCTGTAGAGGTTTGGGCTTGGGGATTTCAATGTTTGAAGCCGGTTTAGAGTCTAGCGCTGGTGGGTTGAGGCTTAGCCCGGAACCCTCCTAAAGATTGCCAATACTATCCCGGGGGTTCCTTATCATAGTTAAAACACTACCGGGCCCCAAAACCCTATTCTCATTGTTGAAGGCTCTACAGTAAACCCTCGACACCCACCTTCACATGGACCAGCCCCGGTAGCCGACTGATCTCCTCGAAGGCTTCGGCGTGCTTTGCCATGGCGCGGTGCCGGCTTGGGGCCACCCGGTACTTGAGGCGTTGGGGCTAAGGTTTGGGGGCTTCTGGGCCTTGAGGGCTTGGGGCTTTGAGCCGGTGTTTGAGGCTTTGGGGTGTGAGGGCCGTTTAGTTTTGGCTATTGAGGGTTTCGTGCGTTTGGGGTTTGGGGCTTGGGATTCAGAATTGAGGCTTGTTGCTGCGGGCTTTGGGCTAGAGTGGCTTGACCAGTTGTAGAAGTTAGCTTCCTGTACTGTCATTTTTTGAGTCCGATTGCTTTATGGCTTGGCGGCGTTGTTTGCAGAACTGTGGAGGACCGGGCTTTGCGCATGCAAGTCCCCAAGTGCTGACTTGAGCAAGCTTGCTGCAGCAGGCTTCGATGCTATCGGTTGAAGCTACTGCAGACCAGTTAGCGATTACTGCAAACTTCTGTTGATAGCGCTCAGCTCACGATAGCTCTGTCGAAACCAACCAACAACCGCGGATCTCTGGACCCATCTTTAAGCCCAGGGCCCCAAAACCCTATGTCGCCCTACGCCCTGAACGAAAACCCAAAGCTATATCCGAGCTCTCAGCCCTGTTAAGCCCGGGCCCCAAACCCTCCGGATCCTCCGGTTTAGTAAATTTCCCTAAACCCTAAACCCTAAAGCCCCCATCCTGGCGGAACTACCCTGGAACGTTGGGTACCGCCGCCACCCTGTAACAGTCTACGTTAGGGGCTATATGTAGTCATATTACGAAGAATATCTGACAGTACCCAACTTAAACCTTGAACACAAGAGCCTGAAAGGATCCAAAGCCCTGCATTGCCGTGCCGACCTCCGCTGGGTTCCGCCTCCGACTGCTCTACCTCCTCGGCGTCCATCACCTTCGGGTCATTCTTTCTTCAGGTGGTTCTGTCTATATTATATTTCTACTGCTAAGATGGCTTCCGTTAGAGGGCTTCTAAAATTGTAGTTAAGATGGGTTCTTTTGCAGGAAGCCTGTAAGAGTCTTTCTAAGGCTTCTGTCTATAGACTGAGGGGATTCTAAAGCGGTTGCTTTAAGGGTAATGTGGCACCACAATCATGCTTTCAGAGCTCCTTGTGCGGCTGTATAAGGCGCACAAATGAGAACAGGATTTGGGGCATATAATGCTAGAATGAAAAAGGGACTATAAGGGGGCAGTGATCACTCGTCCATCAAACCCAAAACTCTGAACCCGAGACTCTACACTCAAAACCCTGAACCACTTGCCTCAGCGTCTGTGGGCTCGAAGATGTCTCCTCCTAGTTCGGTCCAAGATTTTAGGGCTAAGGACTTTTTGGGCACGGAGCATCTCCGGCCACGGGGCATGGGCAGGAAACACACGGGAAACGTTACGGCGAAGACGCAGGTTCGGCGCCGGATATCTAAGGAGAAGGTAGGCCTGGGCTGCTTGTGGTTTACGGTCTCTGGGAGTTATCCTTCCCCCAACAGCGCACCCATCTCAACAGCATCAGTAGAACTGAAACCTTGGATCCATGACCTCCTATCACTGAACAATCCCAACCTCAGACCCATATCCCAGACCTCTCAAGTCCTGGTCGCCGCGCTCCGGCCACATCCTCTGCGCCAAGCTCGGCCTCTTTCACCTGTGCCACATGCTCAAATCAGGGCACTTGGAAGGCTTTCAAGGGGTTTTGAGTCGTGGGTTTTGGTGCAGTGAAGAGTTCTTTTGTTACGTCATAGGTAGGGTTGCACCCGACCTCCTAAAGCCTAAACCGCACTGATCTCAAATGCTCCCCCCCAGTGCTCACCTCCTCCATTATCCGCGAGACCTGAGCTGGGCGACGACGCTGCGTCGGAGCCTCCGGGACGGCTACGGCGAGTTCAGGGTCTCCAAGTTTGAGACTGCAGGGCGTGGGATCGAAAGAGTGACACAGCTGAAAGTAAAAGGCCCCGCAGTTCTTTACCTGTCCGCGGCTTATATATGTCTGTGGTTCAGCGTAAGGGCCTGCCGCAAGGTTGAAAAAGTCTCAATCAGCAGATCATGTGGTCTTTGGTACATTAACTAGTGTCCGAAGGCACCATAGGGAATAGTACCAGTTATTCGGGCCCGTACTTTACCTTCGAGAGTGTCAGCCTCAACCTCCCAGATGTCAACACGGTCACCCTTCTAATTACCCACCCCACAAACCAAAACACCAAATTCTGAAGCCCAAACCCAAACCACCTAAAAACTCGAAGAGACGGCTGGCCACATCCCCCCGCCCGCGCTACCTCCGCGTTGGACGAGGGCGGACTGCCCAGCCCTCGGATCGCCGCGAACGCCATCGACAACGAAGTACACGTACAATACTATGCTGCTTTATGTGAAATTTATGTTGCACTATGTTCTACTGAAATACATAGTATACCATGTTGTATCATGTTACGTTACAGTATGGTATATTATGTGTCATTATATTACGTAGTATGTACGTGTATATAAATATATGGTACCCCCCCCCCAAAGATCCACGCTTTCTGTCTGTTTCCAGCTCTTCGTGTGCCATCCCCGTTTGTTTGTTCTTCATGTCGTCTGTATGTGTGTCTTCCTACGTGAATACCACAACATTTAGCAGACACACACACACATGGTTGGGCAAACTCCGCTCCAAAGATAGTGGGTACAGGCCTTGGCCCCTTAGCCCCGGTACAAACCGGTACAACCGGTACAAGTTGTACCGGGGGAATCCAAGATTCCAAGATTCCAAGATTGCTGCGGAGTCTTTTTTGGAATCCTGGAACTGGATGGGCTCCGGTATCCAAGATTCCGAGAAAGAGTTCGCAGCAATCTTGGAATCTTGGAATCTTGGATTCCCCCGGTACAAGTTGTACCGGTTGTACCGGTTTGTACCGGGGGGACCCTTCCAAGGTTCCAGGAGAAGACCGGTACAACTTGTACCGGTTGTACCGGTTTGTACCGGGGCTAAGGCCTGCATCCGAGATCTAATACCCGATGTGTTGCCGGCAACAGCCCTTCCCATCCCTCTCCCCTTCCCTCCCCTTCTCTCTTTTCACCTCCCCACCTTCCCCCTCCTTTCTCAACAACCCTGATAAATATTCCTTATTAGAAAATTTGTCTATCCCCTGTGTAGAGACCGTGTCGAGAATCCTAAACCCTTATAGACTCTTTATAGAAACCTTACAGATTCCCTTATAGATTTTTTTTATAGAAACCTTACAGATTCCTTATATAAAGACCTTATAGACCTGAAATGGAGCCCGTATAGAAAAACCATAGATTCCTTATAGAAACCTTATAGATCCCCTGTATAGAAACCTTCGAGAAACCCCTCATAGATCCCTTATAGAACTCTGTTACAGATTCCGTTCCGAAACCGTGTGGGTTCCCAAACAGCGGCCTTATGAACACCTTGAAGAATAGATCCCATCTATAACGACCTTATGGAAAACCCTCATACAGCTCTGTTTTGGAGCCGTTCCAAATAACCGTTATAGATTCTCTCTAGAAGCCTTATGAATTCCCTATAGAGACCTTATAGAGATCCCGTATAGATCCCTTATCGAGAATCCTTATGGATTCATTATAGAAGTCCTTGCATTGCAGAGCCCCATCGTAGAACCTTATGGGAGCTCCCTATAGATCCCTGATATGGAGCCCTCATAGACAGCCTTTATAGATTCTTATAGAAACTTTATAGATCCCTTATATAGAGAGTTACAGAAGCCCCTTATAGATCCACAAATGGAGTTCTTTATAGAAAACTTTGAGAGATTCCTTGCACGGAGCCTTCATAGACAACTTTTATATACTCCTTATGAAAACTAGTAGATTCCCCTCTATGTGGTTTTCCCCCCTCTAGAAACCACATAGAAGCCCGGTATAGATCCCTCATTTTGGGCCCATGTAGAAACCCTTACAGATTCCTTCTTGAAATCTTATAGATCCTCTATGTAGAGACCTTATAGAAACCCATGATATAGAAAAACTATAGATCCCTATAGAGAGAGTTTCTAGAAACTCATTATGGATCCCTCATATGGAGCCCTTATAGCAAACCCGTTTATATTCCTTATAGACACCTTGTACATCCATTGCAAAAAAACCCATTAGAAACCCCTTGTAGATCCCTCATATGGGCCCATATCGAAAGTTCTATAGATTCCATATAGAAACTTTGTAGATCCTCTATATAGAAACCCAGATCTTCGTGGTCGATGTCGATGCCGGAGTATTTGCGTACTTGTTTTTTCTCCAACATGCCATGAAGATATTACATTTTCGTGTCATATCCATGGGCTGACATATGCAAGACAATATGCATGTCAGGCCGGCAGTTATATGCTATGGAGGAGTGGTAACTGTGGTGCACCGTGTCATTAGCTTCATGGATTGGCCTGGTGGCTGTTTAGCCAGAGAACCCCTGTCCTTGACGCATTGCCTATGGGTAAGGTAAGATTTCATACCTGAGGACCATATCTGATGTACACATGTACAAACTAGCAATCACAACCTTCTGTGTTGCAACATTTATATAGAAAATTATCCTGGACCGAATGCAAACTGTTGCGTATCATATTGACAGAGGAACAGCATATGATGATGTATGGATGCCATATCCAGTCTTTGACATGAGACTACGAATGCCAGGAATCTTCTTGTGCTCATACACCGAGGGATAGTACAGTTGTTGAAACCAGTGGCATAATTGTTTTCAGACACGATGACGACCGATATCAAAGGTAAACAGGTGCATAGCAATATCCTGCATGCGAGCGTGCCGGGATGCGTGGACGAACCTGAAATTTGACATTTGTGCTTTTAATTCTATGTCTGAATCAGTGCGAAACTTTCTGGGTTTCGGTTTGTAGAATGCGTGATATGGCTATGTAGCATTTAGCTAAGCGTTTGATATTGTCTATATAAAAAACTAGCTAAACAGACCCTAAAGTCACGATCATTGTGCCACCGTTTGTCTCCATCACCGATCACCCGGTCCACATTGTCGTTGTCTTTTCATTTCAGAGGTGCAGTCGTGTTCGTTTGTATTCGCATATTCCTCCCTCGGAAAGTTTACGCTTTATGTCCATCACCCGTGTCCATATGCAAAGAGACATGCATAAGGGTTTACAAATACTGCAGCTACATGCTGTTGTAAGTGATGTGGGTACCAAGGGTAATCCGGCAATGCTGTGGAATGGTACTCCGGCAATGCTGTGGAATGGAAGGGTTGTTTCGGATTAATTGAGTCATATTTGAGGGGGTTCTTTCCGAATAAGGCCAAAACGCGCGAATCATATTTGAGGGCGTTCCTTCCGACTAAGAACAAATTGCGACTCATATTGGGGGGGGTTCCTTCCGAATAAAGCCAAAATGCGCGGATCTTTGGGGGGGGAAGCAAATATATACATGTATATTTGTATCTGTATTATGTTATAGTCTGGCATATTGTATCGTTTTTATGCTACATTGTATAGTAGTACAGTATATAGATATATTACAATACTATGTTGAGCTGTAGTATGTTGTATTGCGAATACATTTATACTATTTTTATTATATCTCAGTATGCACAAGTACATTTAGCTACATATCTCGTCTAAATTATGAAATGAAATATTATTTTGTATAGTCTTGCATTGTACCGTATCTCATTATGCTATATATCTTTACTACAGTATGTGGTATTGTGTATTTAAAGGCGAAATCTATCCTACAATATACTATCTTCCATGTTCATATATTCTATTATTCTGTACTGTATGTCATGATGTACTTTTTATGTATATCGATATAAACTTTTTTGTATATTGTATTGTATTGTATTGTATTGTATTGACTTAGATTGTGGATGGACATTACATCTTATATGTAGCTTATATATATATATATATACACAGCTATATTACACTACAATTGTAGTATACTGTACTGTATTATATCACACTATAGTGGTATAGTATAGTTTAGTGTTGCCTTGTAAAGTGTTTATACATATATATATATATATGTACATGCATGCATGTATGTGGGTATGTATATATCTATATGCATGTACACATACATATGTGTATATATATATATAGAACCAGGGTATATGGTTGTGGAGGGAGTGACAGCAACCGTGGAAGTATGTGGACGAACAGCGGCAGCATTCATAACAGGCTTCTTTGGTCCCGTTTTTACGCCGGGTGCTTCCCTCCAACCATGTCATTATATGGGAACTGTTCTATGTCTATGTGTCTCCAAAACTCGAAGCCAACCCTCACAACCCCCTAAGCCCCAAACCCTCCCCAAACCCTTCTCGGCCTGCCCGCTTGGCACGCAGGACTTTGGACAGCTCACTGGCCTTGGCAGCGATTCGCTCTGCCATCTGTACCTCCGGGGCTGGCTCGGAGCTATCGGAGACTTTCCGTATGCTGGAGCTAACAGCTCAGTTGCTCCTTCTTTCAACCCTTTGAACCGCTTACAGAGTTCGGGCCGATCTGCCTGGAGCCTTTGGGGCCTAAAGGCTTCCACTTTGGGAGCATCGTGCGAACAGACCAACGGGTTCAAGGTTGCTCAGGAGTGCGTATTCGGTTCCGACGAATCGTCTCCGTCAGCGTGTTCGCTGTCGGTTGCCGCTGTCGAAGTGGACCGTGTGCCGGCAAGGACAGTTTCTAGAAGCTCCCTTCTGCGAGACTGCAAGAACAAGCCATGTTCTCAGTGGTCCAACCCTCAACCCGGAACCCTAACAAACCCTGAGAACCCTAAACCCCACCAAAACAAGAGCTCAGCACGTCCGTAAGCCCAACAGTGCAGAAAATCTTGGAACGGACTTCGGGGCCTTCGTACCGCTCACTGGAAGCCATAAGGCTTTGCAGAAGCCCTTCCTTGTTCTAGCAATCGAAGTTGCGGGGCTTTGGAGAATCAGCTTCTAGGGTTTAGGGCTTCTGGGTTTTGTGGGGCTTTGAGGTTCAAGGCCTGGGGCTTTAAGGCCTGAGGTTGATGTCTTCCTTCTTATTTATCTGTTCTTATCCTCTCCGCTAAGGTTGATGTCTTCTGGAGTTCAGGAATTATCGGCTTCGGCTTTCAGGGTGCCGCGTGTGGAACCGCAAAGCCCCGTCTGCTGGAAACTCTAAAGCACTTGGTGTGGAATGGGCTCCCACGGCACTGAAGCAGCCTTGTCACATGGGGGGAGGTGTATGCCGTATAAAAGTATACGGGCACTGAAGGAAATGGTATGTGGAACAATTGCTATTATTCTAACCCCCAAATTGCAAACATGCAGAAGCAGCCTCGGGTGTTTTGGGTCTTCGGGGTCTCTGACTCTAGGTTGGGGCACAGACTTTCTTCGACATCCATGAAAGCCCACAGCTTAGGTAGGGCGTGGGAGGAGGCGAGTGTCCTGGTTTGTTCGGAAACCCTCACCAAGTTTGGAAGGCGGAGCTCAGATCCACCGCACGGTACTTGTCCGCAAGGAAGCCCGCAGCACGGCCCGCGTCACTGAGGCCCCCCATGACCTGCGGCTTGGCTTCGACTGAGGATTTGGGGATTCAGAGCTTGGGAATTTACTGTAAGGTTGAGCGATTCAGGCTTTGCGGTTTCGGAGTCTAGTTTTGCACTTCAGGCTTTGAGGTTTAGTTTCAAGGGCAGGGCCGTTCTATGACATAACTCCTTCTGCCTCGAGTACAAGAGTCTGTAGAAGCTTGAGTGCGTTGCATGCCAAGTGCGTCCGCAAAGTGACGGTCAAGCACGAAGATGCAAGGCCCGAAGGGATACAAACATGCCTTTGTCCTTCTTTCTAGGCCCCGCACGGGACGAAAAAACCTTCTCCGCACGTGTTAAGGGAGCCACTCGAACCAAGGACACAACAGAAGCGCCAGTTCAAGGCGCCTCAATGATGCGTAGGACCGGGCTGTCGGACTGATAGAAGGCATCTTCTTCTAGCAGCGCCTCCTTCACAGTGCTTCAAGAAACGCGGGCTTGCCGAATTCTAACGGGACCGGCCTAAAAATGAACACCGTACTGTGCAGGCAATCTCCCCGATGATGATTTAAACATCGTAGTTGCGGCATCAACAGCAACAGCAGAAGAAGCCCTAGCAACAGTAGGACTAGGAGGAGTAGCAGTAGCAGTGGCAGTAGCAGTGGCAGTGGCAGTGGCAGTAGGAGTAGTAGGAGTAGTAGTCGTAGTAGTAGTAGTAGTAGTAGTAGTAGTAGTAGTAGTAGCAGTAGTAGTAGTAGTAGTAGTAGTAGTAGTAGTAGTAGTAGTGGTAGTAGTAGTACTCGTAGAAGAAGCAGCAGCAGCAGCAGGAGTAGTAGTAGTAGTAGTAGTAGTAGTCGTAGTAGTAGTAGTAGTAGTAGTAGTAGTAGTAGTAGTAGTAGTAGTAGTAGTAGTGGTAGTAGAAGCAGTAGTAGCAGTAGTAGGAGAAGGAGAAGGAGTAGCAGTACCAGTAGGGGTAGGAGCTGGTGTCGGCGGTGGGTGGCAGCGCCAAAACACAAATCTCTTGAGCCCTCAAGGTCTTGAAGCCCTAGTCCCTGAGGAAAACCTCAGACAGATCTCCCTAAACCCTAGACACCCTACACTCTCCAAGTCTGGACCCCGAGCCGAACAACCCCCAAATCGTTTATGAAGCCTCATGAAAACCCTACCAACTCCCCAGAAACGTAAGCTGCAAGTTCCAATAGTCCCAATTTGGCCTCGATGCGCTCGAGGAGTTCTTCCTGGGAGCCGCTGATGCGTTTCAGGCCAAGGCCAGCGCAGATGGCTTTGAGCCCTGGCGGGCTGTTCGCCGTGGACGATTCATATGCAGGGGGTCGGGGGGGCGGAGGGGGGGGGGGGGCAGGTGGAGCCTTGCGAGTTTAGGGCTGCCTACTAGGGTAAGTTGGTTTGTTGCATGTTATTGGGTGTTGAAGGCTTAGGGCTTAGGAAAGTTGATAGGTGTTGGCTGTAAGGCTTCAGCGGATAGAGTTCGGTTCAGGGCAACCAGCTGTCTCAGTTCAGAATGGGGCGGAGCGACATGCGCAAATTAGGCTTCAGCGAAGTTTCGTCCGTGCTAGTTGCTGTTCTTTGTGTTGTGACTTTCGAGAGTGGGCCGGCAAAATGCGGAGTGCAAGCACATGTAGGTTTGGAAGCTAAAAACTCGAAACCCTAAACTCCAAAATCCTGCAGCCCTACCCAGAATCCTAAACTTGTGCAGGCCTTTCTCGCTTTCCTCCTGCAGCATCTGCTCGCGGACAGCTGGCTCCGAGGAGCGCAGTCGCAGCAGGAGCTCCGTCATGGCCTGACGGGTCTCATTGGGACCGGCTGTGACAGAGCTTCGCACTTGCGGCTCATTCCTCTCTGCAGCTTCGAAATAGCTCAGGCTTTGGAAAAACTGGGTTTAGGGTGGTCGTTAACTCTAAAATGCGCAACAGTTATGAACACACCTCCTTGCGGCCCAGTCGCCCCAAGGGAATCGGCCCCCGCAGCCGCGCAGCGAGGGCCGCGGGGCACGGAGTGGCTTTGCCTTAGGCCTCCCCGCCAGCTGGGTCTGTCAGAATCTTTACTCTAGAAACATGAAACTACGACACAGAAGGAGCATAAGAACATAAGCATTAAACGAAGTGCTATGTAAAGCAATCGTTTGCATAACCTAAGGGGCATAGGAACAACGATTTCGCATCCTCGGGCCTGGGATGGCCTGGGATTGCTGATACGGTCTATGATGTCTTTTTGGTGTTGAGATTCAGGGCGATGTAGATTTAGAGTCCCAAGTTCTAGGTCTGTTATGTTCTCATCCGCTATAAGACCCTGCACAAACCTTCGCAAGCTCTATTCTATAAAACCCTCTATAGAATCCGCATAGAAAAGGGGTGCCAATGATTCGTCGGCCTGACGCAAACGCCGTGGCTGCCACGCCCAAGGGGATGGCGCCAATGCTCCTGGCACCAGAACCGTAAGCCGCCCCTCAAACCCGAAACCCTCCGCCGACATCCTTTCTCAAGGAAGAAAGTTTAAGGCCACCGCTGCTGCAAGTCCCAGGTGTTCCAATCCTTTATGAATGAATATAGCCTACAACCCTATGTGCTGAGTTTAATTACAAGTGAAAGGAACAAGGGGAAAACGAGGGTAAAGAATGCACGCCTTATTTTCACTTTGCATTTTAACTTAAAATCACCACATCCCAACTACCGAAATGACCCCAAATCCAGGCTCTCGTGTGTTGGGTGTTTACACTAAACAAAACAAAGTAACCGTGTGAATGCGTGTGTATTTAATTTAAACTCACAACACACAAGCATCATTACCAAACACTCTACAAGTAGAGTGACACCGCTTCTCAATCCCCCACTGTGATGGCTGCGTCCTATGTCTTATGCGAAGGTCTGAATTAGGCCGCTTTGTAAGGTCCCTGTTACAAGACTGCCGTGAGAAGGGACACCAATGTGCAGAATGAATCATGTGCCCCAAAAAACTACAGCCCTAACCGGATCGACCTGAATAGACGATATCATAGCTTTTGGACCGGAAAAATTCTCTCGGCCAAAACCCTTCGAACTCTGAATCTCAACCATGTCCTGCATCTCTGCTGCATCGACCATGCTGGGACAGCACCCTGGGCATCCAAGCTTTGACTGCCCCCGTTCAGGGTATCGAAGGCAAAGGAGATCCGACTCAGGCTCACCTGGCTTCGTATAGGGGCCTTTATGATTAGAACAGGGTTTTGGGGGGCCCATTATTATGCTTTAGCTAGAGTAGGGAACCCCCAAAGAAGTATAGGTAATTATAAAGGCCCCTATAGCATCTGCAGCTACTTTCTGGTCTCATCCTCTCGGTGTTGGTAGCGTTTTCGAACTCCTTATCAAGTTCCGTATACGTGTCGAGGAACCTAAACAGTAGACATCCCAGACCACTTCGCTCAGAAATCTGCTTCATGTCTGGAGTCTGACTCAACCACTAAAGCGACATCAGCAAGCCTAACTCTTGAACTTCTCCTTGGTTTCGGGATCAAAACACCCATCGGAACATGAACCCGACGCCCTAAACCCTAAACCTTGAAGTCCAACCCTAAGTATAAATAGCCGCCGCCCCTCCCCCAAGTCCCAAACCCGAGACCCCAAACCCTGAACCCTCGATCCCAACCCTTACCCCAACATCAAGCCGTAACCTTCCCGCCACGGCAACATTATATAATCCTATACTGCAGGAATAAGTCATAGTATATTGTATTATAGTAACTCTTCCCGTTAGTATAGTACAGCATGGTACATCATAGTCAAATCGGCTATATATCAGACTATATATATATGGAGCATAATATAATAAATATGGTGTAATACAGTATGGTATAGTGACGTATAGTATAGTATAGTCTAGTATAGTATCTCATAATGCCGTGTAGTATATAGTATAACAAAATATCTTGTAGTGAAATATGTGTAACATACTGTAATATATTGCGGTATACTGCCATACGCTTTCTTGTATCATAACATATTAGCTTTGTAACAAAACATTTGCCTACACATATTCAATGAATACATATATATATATACATAGATATAGTTCTACATATATATATATATATACATATGCGACATGCACAATGTATATTCGCATTGTCTTTGTAATCTACAACTCCAAAGGCCCGGCCCCAGCCTGCGTCGTTGGCTGGCCAGGTCCCGGCACGGGGATCGGTCGGAGCATGTCCGGCGAGGCTTTGGACTTAGGGCTTCTTTTGAAGGTGGCTATGGGGTTGAGGCTCTCGTATATAAGGGTGCTATCTTCGCTTGTTGGGTGTGAGCGTTTGGGGCAGCTTAGGGTATGTTCTGAGTGCGGGAGGGTTTCGGTTTAGGGACTTTCAGGAAGCTGCAAGGGCTTTTTGGGTCTACGGACAAGGCTCTTGTCTGCTAGGCGTTGTGTGCGGCGTCGGGCTAGCTTTCATCTTGTATCTCCTCCCAGTGAATGAAGCGGCTTCAACTCTGTGTGCTTTCTTCCGACTTGCGTTTACGAGGGATCGGTTGGGAGCTGGCCTTGGGAAGAGGCTTGAGACGTGTGGACTAGCAGGCTGGGAAGTAATGCAGTCGGCTGGCTCCTGAGCCATACGGCCTAAACCCACCGATTTCATGAACCGCCTGCAGGAAGGCACGTGCCGTGAAGCCAGTGGCTGCATGTAGAATCGACGCACTCCTAGATCGCGGGTGCCTCCAATGGTAAAACTTGGCTGCTTAGTCTAAATCCCTGAACCCTAAACTCCGCACTCTCAACCCTAAAGCCAACACTCAGAACCCGAAATCCTCAACTCTCAACCCTATGATCGCTAAACCCCAAACATTTGAGAGAGACGCCCTTAGTCAGATCAGGCCCACGTCTTGCTACTCCGTGACAGCCCTGGGCCCTCAAGACCTCCCTTCAAGAGCCCTTTTAGGGGTTCCTTTAAGGGTTTCCTTTCAGGGTTGCTTTCAGGTTTCCTGGTTCCTTTAAGGCGTAGGTTCCTTCAGGGGGTTTAGGAGAGTCTTGGGCTTGGGGCTTTGTTTCTTTCGGACATCTTGACCGAGAATCTACCCGGAAGAAAACTCGAGAGGTTCAGGCTTAACTCAATCTTTGCAGCTTCCAACCACTAGCTTCAGAATTCGGGGTCACGAACCCTCAAAGTCTAAACCCAGCCTTGCCCAAGAAAACAGACTATCTAAGCATGCCAACACTCTGTTTTCGCATTGCTGCTGAGATCTGTCGGGCAGCAGGCCCGGTGGCAGCAAAGCTTTCGAGATCCGAAGATGAAGATTTCGGGATCGAGCATTTGGGCTTGCGGAATAGGTCTTGGGTTTTGGCTCAAGTCTCAGGGATGCTAGTTTGGGATCGTGGAGTCATTCCTGGGCTCCTTGCTGCCTGCAGGGCCCTGCCTCTCCGGTGAAACTCGCAAGTTCGCACGCACGCGCACGCGTGCGACGGCGCGCCGCAACTCTTTGAAGCGATTCGGGTATCCGATCGATCCCTCAGAATACATACTGTAGAGGCCTAATGATTACCTATACTATTTTGAGGGTTCCTTACTATAATTATAGTATAACATACCCCAAACCATTTGCTAAATTACTCAGGTCCCTATGGTACATGGCCAATAATTTATGCCTTGATCCCCAACTTGAGCCATAAGTCACGAGCGTAGCAGGGTGCCCGAAACCTCATCCACGAGCCCTCCGACCAACAAAACGTCTTCTAGCTTTCGCTTTCCTGCTCTTGAACCCTAGCTCAAGGGCACACTGCTCGCATCCATCCTTCAGTCGGCTAGCTCGGTGGTGGTGGCGGGTGCGCTGCACCAGCCTCGCCGTCTGGTTCCTAAGCCCTGAAAGGGATTTAGGATTGGGGCTGCGGGTTTAGGAGGGAGGATCCTGGGTCTAGTGGTTTTGCAGAATTGGAATTCAAGGCTACTGAGGGTAAAAGATTTCAGGTTCTATTTTCGGCTGTATAGAGTCACGGAAGGTCGTCATGGACATCGCGACGATAGGAGCAAGTGACGTCTGACCTTCACCAGCGTCCAATAGCCCCAGCAGCCTGCCGTATTCCTTGGACCGCACCCACAACCATCCACACTAGCAACTCCTAAAGCCACCTCATCAGGGACCGGAGAGCCTATCATAGACGAGCACCCTGATGCTTTAAACATGAACTGGGAAGCTCCCGGCAAAACGTCTCGACCGAATACATCGATCAGCAATGTGCTGTCTTGCATCTCTTGTTCCACTCTCTCCTGCACTTCTCGTTCATCCCACGCTATCACAACCGACATATGCGCACACAAGCAGCAAAGAAGTAGTAATTGATAACAAGACCGCAGCTTGCAAGATCGAAACACAACATCGCATCGGTGTCTCACAGCCTTCGGCGCGGCATCTTCGTTGGCATCATATTTCATCATCATGTCATTCGAATGACTTGTTGCGCGAAGGGTTCGCATGTTTGAAGCAAAAGTTGTCATGATTCGCCGGTGCGTAGCGGTTGTTCCACAGATTTGCTGTCAACACCAGGGGAGTACTGCGAAACTTGCAACCCTGCGCAGAAGCTACAGGACCGGAAACGTGTTTCGAACTTCTCCCCGAAACCCCTGAGCCCCAAAGACCGCTGTGAGTCCGACAGATGAACCCCCAATACCCAACATTACAGCGGAGAAACCTGAACGTCCGAGTTCCCCGCCGAGACGTTCTCCAAGAAGCACAGCAGCTGGAAGAGTGTGAGCAGCTCGAGAGCCTTCCCGAAAAGTCAGAGTCCCCGGTTTCGGGCCAGGTTTTCGGATTTGGAGTGCTGGGTTCGGGGGGTTGGGGCGTAGTGATAAAAGGGATTGGGGCTTGGTATGCGGGGTTTGGCCTCCAACCAACAAAGCCAGAGCCAAACATTGGACTCCGTTTGAAAGGAGGATGAGCCGGAGTGGGGTTCGTCACTGAGCCACAGCCTCCAGCACCCGCTCGGCAATGCTTGGTTGAGGGGGGTCAGAACCCAATTACATGCGAAGCATACCAAGACGAACAAAACAACCACCACCCCACCACCACCACCACAGCCGCTGAGCCGCCACCACCACCACCACCAACGACGACGACAACGACAACAAGTACCACAACCACAACAGCAACAACAGCAACCCATGAACAGCAACAACCATAGCAATAACAACGCAACCGAAAGAAGCAACGACAACAGGAACTGCACCACCGAAACCGAGAAGCAACAACAACAGCAACAGAAACAGAAACAGCAACAGAAGCAGCAATCGCAATTGCAACCGCAACGACAACAGCAGCAGCAATAACAACAACACCAGCAGCAGCAGCAGCAGCCGCAGCGACAACGGCAACGGCAACTGCAGCGGCAGCTGCAGCGGCACTGGCAGCAGCAGCTGCACCACCGGCACCGGCACCACCAACGCCCACAACTGGATTGATAGCAGCACCGCTGCGAGTTGCTGTATCCGGGTTTAATTTAATTAACCAGTCATCCTCATGTTATTAGTGCAGGTTCGTACTCCATTGCAGTGCAACGACTGGGGTTACGATGCTATTGACTGCTGCCCATAATTGCTGTCCTTGTCTTACACTACATACACCTGAATAAACTGCAAGCCGTGCAGAATGAGAAACAAAATTAACATGAACTGGGATGCCTTGTCCGCCCCCAGAACTTCATGCACACGCTGCTGCAGCTCCTGTGCACTGACCTGGTTCCGGGCAAAAAGGCATTCCGAGAACTTCGGGGTGCTGGGATTCAGCGCTTAGGGGTTGGGTTCTGGCATGTTCTGGGGTTCAGGTTTCTGGGTTCGGGTTGGGGCCTCTAGGATTCTATGGCTTCCCATGATACTACATCCATCTGGTTGCAGCATTTAGCTATGGATCGCTTGGGCGGCTGTCTCATCTCCAACATCTGCACCCTAACATGTCACCGCTAGCTCGTGATCCTGTCAATTTCTCAAATTTTACAAGTGGAACGAAGATCTATCGAGCAGTCTGTAACTGGTCCTGTGCAGCCCTGGTGTCGCCGCCATGGGCAGCAGCACCCCAGGTCACAACCGATCCGTTGCCAAGCATAGCAGCAAAAGCGCCGCCGGAAAAGGCCTGGATCTGCTGCACATTCTTCAGCTGACCCTGCACAGCGCTACTGTCGCCACCCCAGTCGGCACGACCCCACATCACAACGGATCCATCGCAGCGATGATCTCCGCGCGTCCGTCCAGAACAACTCCAGAAAGTCCAGCCGCCGTTTCCCGTTTCCCGACTTCAAGTGCGATCTGTGCCCGTTGTGACAATTTCTCCACAGTTTCGTCCACGGGTGCTTTCACGGCAGTTCTCTTGCCACTGAGCACTGACACTTCCGCAGTATTTCACATGCTCCACGCGGGCAATGTCCAAAATCCGAACGCTGGACTTCACAAGTCACCTTCGGATCGGGTAAGTCAGCAGCAGGACGCGGAATCCTAAGCAAAACTAGACTTACATGCGACGTTTCAATCCCGATTTTAGGTTGCTTTCTTGGGCCTCAAACAGTAAAGCCGGTGCAGCATTTCAGGTTCATTGGTTGGCCGTCAAAGCAATTAATGTTGACTTACTTTTGATACTCCTCCCCTCGATTACAAAACCCTACCCCCGAAACTCAGTTATAATCCCCCCTCAATTACGAAACGCCTAGCCGCGGATGTTTGGTTGTACTTCGTGTTCTGTGTTGTTTGTTTCGTAGCAGGAAGAGAGAAATGCAGCTACTACGACCATTTCAGCAGTGCAGAGAGAGAGAAACTGCAGCGACTACGACTGCTTCAGCAGTGCAGGGAGAGAGAAACTGCAGCTACATGACTGCTTCAGCAGTGCAAAGAGAGAGAAACTGCAGCTACTAAACGACCGTTTCAGCAGTGTGCTGCTACTGTCCTACTACTGTACTATACTACTGCACTACTTGACTACTACTGTACTATTGTGATACTGTACTACGACGAGCGACCCCCCCTCCGAAAAAGTCAATCCCCGGCCTGCAATCAATGAGTGGGGGGGGGTTATTAAAAGGAAGTCAACATTAAGCAGCGTTTCAGGTTCATGAGCTGGTCGTCAAAACAATAGTTAAGTGCCCACCACGACGAAACACCAAGCGCCCACATTCTGAACACCTAAGCTTAGAAGTAAATGGCTTCGTACGGCAGTCCGGAACCCACAAATCACTGACAAATCCTTGCCTCCCCAGACGCGCACACCAGCGAGTGCACCGTCCGAAATTCATCCTTCGGCCGAGAGATTCGGAAGCTGCTCGGTGGGTACGTGTTGAGGGGGTTCAGGGTCCAGGGCCGTTGGGATTCGGGGCCAAGGATGTAGGGTCTTCGGCTTGAGGCTTGGGATCTTCCGGACGAAGGGGAACATGGAGACAGCTGGAGGTGGCAAGCTGGCGGGCTTTGTGGTTGAGGGCTTCAGCGTGCTAGTCTGGAGTTAGGCCAAGTTCTGCTTGTCAGGAATGGCGGCGTTGGGGCGCCAAGCTCTGGGACTTGCACTTGCTGAGTGGACAACGCGGCCAAAGCAAAGGTATAGATAGATAGACAGACAGATAAATAAATCGCTAAACAGATAGATTTCAGATAGATGCACCCGCAGATACACTCACACACTCTGTGTCTCTTCATGTTTGCAGATTGCTTATCTATCCACTATACATGTATGATATATAATATAATATGATGTAATATACTGTAATGTAATGTAACGTAATAGTATATATATATATATATGTATATATATATATATGTGTGTGTGTGCACGTGTAAACACACATACACCTCCGGCATCTGGTCTCGAAGGTAGACACGCAGGGAGGCCGCCTGGGCGTGTGCGGGGACAAGGCGAGATATAAGAACTGCCTCAATAGGTTCCGTATGCGCTGGAACTTCAACACACAGAAGCGTCACTCAACTTATACCGCCTTCTGCACATACTAGCATGTATAGGTGCGCACATGTCTGATGAAGAAGTGCTTTGTTGGAGGTTGGCCACTTTGAGTCGAGGGCTGAGGAGCAGTAGCTGAGCATTTAAGTTCTCGGCCTTGGCAGCATAGCTGCTGGTGGCCGACGGCGCTCTTACCTCCGTGCACGGAGCATCTAGTAAGCATCCACCATGTTTGCCTAACTAAGCTTGATGATGGCTGGGGGGTCAGATGCGTGAAAAGAGATCCGAAATACCCCTTAAAGCTCCAAGGAGTGAACCCAGAAAGCCCTACGGAAGCCTTATATAGGAACAACCCGTATGGCGTCGGGCAAGAAACTGAGCTCAACAAAGGGTGAACAAGAAAGGACACTCTCAGGACATTCTGCAGCCGCAGAGCCAATCAACCTGCAACCGGAAACGCGAAAGTCGAACAAGGTAGCACAAATAAGGTCATGGAAAATACTTGAAAGGAACAAGAACCACGAACAGTCAAGGTTTAGGGTTTAGTGCCCCACTCCTACTCCCACGTCTACTCCTACTCCTGCTGCTACATGCTGCAGCGGCGAATGCAAGAGCAGCACAACTATCCCCACGACCGAGCCTTCCAATTATATATTATGTCGCAACTTGATTAAACTATCGAATGTATATCATATATCAAGTACTAGAAATTATGCAGTATATATGATGTAGTATAGCAAACAGTATACAGAATACTATATAGTCTAGTGAGTCTAGTATGCATTAAAAGTACGTATACTCCAACCCAGATCCACCTCCCCAGGGCCGGGTGCTTCGCCGCTGCCTGCTTCTGCGTCACTCAGGAAGATGAAATCCACAACAGACATGGCATGTCTCTGTGTTTGTGTGCGTGTGTGTGAGTGTTGGGGGGGTTGTGTGGGGCGATGCGGGCGGGGGGTATCTATGTATGTATACATGTATGTATAAAAAAAACCCTTGAGCATGGATATGAAATTGGGTATGGGCATGTGTAAACATGTAGATGAAGACAAATACATACATACATCTGCAGGTACTTGAACACCGCAACTCAAACACGAAGATTTGTGGTTGAGAGCATCGTTGGGTTTGGGAGGGTACCATTACTAGGCTCCGCTCTGTGTCCTCCTATGCTGTCTCCGAGCTTATTTGAAGGTGTTATGATTGAGGGCATCAAGGCTCCTACCTCTTGTTGCTTTGGTGACGAGCTTCAGCACCGGTCGGAGATCTCAGATCCACCAAACCCTGAATCTCAACTGGGAGTTGGCCTGGGGGCGGTGGAGGTGCTGCCTCGGTCAAAGATGTGGCAAAAAACGCTCTTCTCAGACTGCTGGCACTAGCGGTAACACGCTAGCTACGAGTAGAAGCATCCCATCGCCATCGCGCCATCATCATCACCATCATAATCTCTGCCCCCAGTCATCATCAGCACCAACCAACATCGTTCCTGAGCATCAGAAAGAAGGAATAGACGCCACCAAGCAGTCCTTAGATGGGTGAGCTGAGACAAACAACAGCAGCAAGTGTTACTTTACGTTGGTGCAAAAGGACTTGGATGGGGGTCTTCGTAGTGGGGCTTCAGTGAAATGGAGATTGCGCAAGTGCAGGTCTCAGGAGACTGCCTGCCACTTTTCATGGTAAAGAGGATGATGATGTTTACTGTCCGGAGCTGGGAGTCTCTGAACTACTCGGCCCTGCATTCTATACCTATCAACCATCTGGGGTAGCCACTGCATAGGCACCGCCACCGCCGCCTCGCCAACAGAGTGTCAAGAAATTGACTGTCAAGGCCACACGAACAGATATGAACTTCCAACAGCCTGTCCCACCAAAACCCTGCGGGACACGAAAACAACACCCCACTGCCACCGATGCCACCGCAAATGCTCAAGCGGTCCTGAATCCTGAACCTGCAACTGCAACTGACGCCCAAGCTCTGTGCAACCCCAAACTCTGCGGCCCGGGCCGATCTTCAGGTTGGCAACACTATGCCTTGGAAGACGAAGGCTGCGGAGGCCAAGAGCACCAAGCCCGGTGCTGCTCTTCTTTGTGGCTTCGCCGTACATGAAATACTGCGGGGAGTTTCGAAGAGTTTCGAAGCCCAGAATGGACCCGTAAGGAGCCCTATGCCACCGAAGCCCCAGAGCAAAGACCGCGAGATCAGATCCGAAGGCTCTCCCGGGCTCCCGGGCCTCAGATCGCTCTGGCCCTCCTCGCCGCCGTCCTTTTTTCGGGCTTCCGGTTCAGGAGTTCTTCCCTTGAGGGATTGGGCCGGGGATCCTTGAAGGTTAGGGGAAGTGGTTGAGGGATCAAGGCTGAAGAGAAGGTGGCTTGGGGCGGATAGCTGAAGTTCGTGTTACGGGGCTCGGAAAATCGAACCGTCTTGGAGAGCTGAGGCTTCGATTCCCCGGATCGGAGCTGAAAGACCATTTCCGTAGCTGGTGCTTCGGTACTTGGACATTCGTGGGTCTGGGGTCCAGTTGAACTGCTGCTTGCACTTCTGTTCTGCAACAGCAGCTCCTAAATCATGCAACCAAGCTCATGAAGGCATTTACCCCCTGCCACCTCCAAGCCCTGTGAATCCTGTCAGTCAGTGCTGTGGAGACTGTAAGCCTGAGCAAGTGGCCTCGGAGCCAGAGTAGTCCTCAAACTCCTCCTCATACTCCTGGCAATATTATCTGAATAGGGGGCCGACAGAGTCTAGGGTCCGGGTGGCGAGCGGCAAACCCTACCAAACCCTACCCCAAGCTCAGCAGCCATCTGGAACCCGCGATGTGAGGTTTGGCTCTGGTTTCGGACGGAAGCTCAGGTGGTCTTGTGCTTGCGGAACTGTGCACTGGGCACGGGCGATTTCACTGCGATGCCCCGAATTGGCGCGCACCTCTTCGGCTTCAGTGGAGGCCTCTCGCAGCAGGAGAAAAGCACAGGAAGTATGACCAGACTACTACGGAAAACGAGGATTTTAAACTACGCTGGAACACATGCTTGCGTGTTCCCTTTCACCCCCGGCCTCAATCCCCTTGCTGGTGATGGAGGCATCTGCGTCAGGGCCGGAGAATATTCTGAGTCTAAGCCCCAAACTATGACCCCTGATCACCAAACCCTACGAAACTCTGCACATTGTCTTGGGGCCTGTGTCACTTGCACAAAGAGGCCTCCGGTTCAGGAACCCCAACACCAAACATCCCGCAACCTGAAACCTCACGAAGCCTCATCCGATCCCGTCCCCCCTTCCTGCCCGTCGCGATTTTGAGCGCACATTTCCCGGTAGCTTTCAGTGTTTAGCTTCAAGCAACGACAAGAAAAACCCGAAGAATTGATAAACCCCAACAAGCTTGGCCTTGCTCTTCCGGGGGTGGACGGACCTGTGAAGGCTAAAGGACCGCAGGGCCCAGGGTTTTGAGTTTGGGATGGCGCTTGCCCTGTCGGAGGACTGCCGGGCTTTGGGGCCTCGTGGGTGCGCAGGTTTTGGGGTGACAAAGGCGAAGGCTTAAGGCTCTTAGGGTGAGTGCCCTGGCTTTCCTGGAGGCGATGGTTTCAGAGAGCGACCTTCAGCGTGCAGCAACCTTCTTACACTCCTGGGGTCCCCCTGTTTTCCGTGGAGCCCTGACGGAAGCCCGAGTCTTCTCAGGGCATTGCTCTGGGCTCCTTGAAAAAAATGGGCTTCTTGACGGATGCTCTCAAGTAAGTGGGGGACAGCAGGCGCGGCCCGAAACCTACGGGACCCAAATGTCGAATCGCAGCCCCCAACAGGACAAGATTCACCCCATGCTCGACAGGTGTCGGTGCCAGCCGACCTGCGGTGTCCGCGGTACAGCAGCGGCTGCCTGAATCGGTTTAGTGCTCAGGGCAGTGTTTGCGTCAGCTGGTGAATTAAAGGTTGGCTTAGGCGTTTCTGCTGCAGGGCTCAATGTCTATATTGACGGATCGGGCTTGGGGGGTTAAGTGTGTTCATGTGGCTCGTTAAGGCAAACATCGTTCAGAACTCCCAGAACTGCCGATACGCCGATAAGTCTCATTGTACCCCTAATTGAGCCACGTATATGCAAAAAACAGCGAGAAAATGCTGACACTCAATACCAAACAGCTCACTCGCTGCTTGCGGTGGTTATTGCGGGAGTCTTGCCTAAGCAGCCCTGACTAAAGAGTTTGAGGGCCTGAAATGTTCTGCAAATGGCGCGTTATTTCTCCCTCTGAGACCCTCCAAGTTATGGAGCCGAGCCCTCAGACTCTTAGCCTGCACACCAATGCATAGGAACCTTTCCAAAAGCTCCATGGTGGGGGATGGACTCGGTGCGCTGCAGGGTCTTGGGCTCCGAGGACCGCAAAGGCAGTTTAAAGGTGCTGATCCTCAAAAGACCCGAAGAAGCCAACCAGAAAGCACCGCTCAAAAGAAAAACGCACCTAAGAGTTTCTTTAGCCCCCTTCTTTAGTTTCACAGACCATCGCTCCATGTCGAAGCATCAAAGACCAGACCGGCTGGATGGTTGGTTCCGAAGACGCAAAGGGCTTCGAATGCAGGGAGCGCCTTGGCGAACTCCGACAGGTCCAGGCCCAGGTGGTAGGTGTTGTTGGCATGCTGCATGATGTCCTGGAGGTGAAGGCACAGGAGTTCACCGCACTCTAGGGGCAGTGGCGGATCCGGGCCACGTCTATGGCTCCGGGTTCAAAGGGGTCCGGTCGAGCGATTGGGACTTGGAAGCGTCACTGCAGGCGCCTGAATGGGCTGTCTGAGGATGCCTGTAGAGGTGAACAGCCATTCGATATCGTAAGGTTGTAGTGTATTGTTCTTTATGCTGTTGCTAGAGTAACTAGTACAGTACAGTACAGTTTCGTACAGTGTAGTATAGTGTTAGTATATGGTCTCCCTTCCTCACCCATACAACCACCCCAAATCCGGGAATCCCAAAGCCATGCATCTTGATCCCTCATCCCCGAAACTCAGCTCGCGCCTGCAGGAAGCTGTAGCAAAGGACTTTGTTGATCCTGGGTTGCTAATGAGTACGAGGAAGCTTCCCCATGGGATCTCCGCTCTAGCAACCGCCGTAGGTGCAGAGTGTCAGCGTGTCGTCGAAGAGAACTCTCTTGCATGCTCACAAGACCGGCCTAGGCAAAGAACCAGACCAATTTTCTGTGTTATCGGAACCATGGCTCCTTGAAGCACAACTTTCCATACTACAAGGTGGGCCCTTTCCCAAACTGGCTTAGAATTCTAACAAATCACCCACTTTCCCGAATGCACCCGGGGAGCAGCGGCCGCTGCTGCGCATCCTGCAAGGTCGGTCTGGCAATTACAGTTCCCTAGATACCTGCTACGACCTACTAATACTTACTACTGCGACAACGATGAAGACGAAGTCCATGGCAACCGGCGGAGGCAGCAACCACCATCGCCCCCGCTACAGCCGCCACCAGCCCCAGCACCGGCACCAGCACCACCCCACGAACCATTGTGACAAGGGTGCAGCGATTGCAGCTCGAGCTCTTGCTGCAAAGACGACGACTGTCTTGACTGGTAACAACACTGGCCAAGGATTGATACGAAAATCTTCGGCTGCCGAACGGATCATCAATACTCTCACACTGACAACTATGCAGTATTACCAGTAAACTGGCACAACTGAGTTTATCGACCTGAAGACAAGACGATGCGTTGCTAGCCACACTGATTCCGTTCCGAAGCTGCGCTGCGGACCCAATTCTCAACCGCCATCCATGGAGTCTGATGTGTTGTGAATCTGGGATTGGTGTATACCGGATAATGCCATGCTTGCACGACTGATAGACTTCGAGTCGTAATAAGTGCTCTATCAATAGTCAAACCTCTCGGCTTCCCACCCCCGCCCCCGGGCCTTGCAAAGCATGCTGCGTATCAGGGACAGGAGGTCCGGTGAGTAGGAAGAGTCGGGCGGCGGGTACTGGTCCTTGCATTCGGAAACGCAATCATCGGACGCATTGAGTCTCACAGGTTGCCGATGTACAATCAGTTTGGGTGCTCGGGTGAAAGGCTGAAAACAGTCGTGGACACCGCATCGTGGAAGAGTCAGACTGATAATTTTGCAGTTTCATGCGTTGCTACGGGGGGGCTTCCTACCGGGGGGCCTTCAAACCATGCGATGAGAATCAAACTGGGAAATCAGAAGACAAGCCTGCAGAGCCGTGTCCAACAACTGCCCCAAGCAGCTTCAAGATTCAGCTGTAGTTTGCGTGTACTTTTTGAACAATCCCCTGCGGTTCTGAACCTGATCCAGCCGTCAATGAAACTCCTCGAAACTCGTGGCTGAAACTCTGAAGCCCCAATGCATCCCAAAGCGGAGTAGCGAGGTCGTGGTGCTAGCTCGCTGGCAAGGAAAGTGATAGTGCTCATCACCAGCACCATCACTGAATCAAGGTATCTGGTGCAAGAAGTCTGCCGAAATCATGGTATTGATGATGATCATCACACTATCATCAACCTCATTATCACAATCACCAGGATCTTCATAAGGCTCGTCCCGGGATACGGTAAGGTGCACACTGAACACCAAGCCCCAAAAGGCACTCCCCTCTCGGCCTTCAGGATCTTGCTCGCCAAGATAACCAAGGAGTCCGCATCGAAGGGATGCTTCAACGTGGTCATCTGCCCAGAGGAATCGGGGGAGCTTTGGGAGCTTAAGGGTTTAGGGTATAGCCGATTTTGAGGCTCTGGGGGTGTAGGGTTTTGGTTTCTAGGGCTTAGGGCTGTGTAGGGGTTTAGGGTATAGGCTTCAGGGTTTTAGGAGCTCTAGCAAGGCATGGCTGTTCCAAGCTGAGGTTCAGTTCCCCCGCGGCCTCGGGGTCTGTCTCTGTAGGGCGGAGGTCGGCTGGAGGAGGAATTCCAGCGTTCCCACGATTGATGGTGGCTTAAGGCTTTGGGCCATGGGGCATTTGGTCTCGCGATTGCTTTGGGTCTTGTCATGGTGCTGTCTTGGGCTTCGTGCAGGGTCTAGAATAGAGCGAGAGGAAAGAATACCTGCAAAAGGTCGTCGACAGCTTATGCAATGATCACACCGCTGGGACGAGCCAGCCAGGAACATCAAATCCAAGCTCCAAGCCCCAAGCGCGAAAACCCCGAAACAAATATGTAGAGACAAGCTGAAAGCAGACGTTTAGCTTCAGCAGATCTGCAAGGCGAACCTCGTAGAGGACCACGCCCAAACTCCAAATGTCACTTTTGAAGTTGTAGGGACGATCCTGCTCCAAACCGCCGCTGTGGGTTCAGCAAAGTTGAATGCAGACTTTTGCAGAAAAATGTAGACGTCCTCTCTTATGCTCTTCCGCGGTTTGCAGAAGGCTCTCACCGACCCCACCGTGCCACCGCGCTCCTCGATGATCTCCGGACTCAGGTAGTAAGGCGTACCCACCTCGATGTGACGGTGGGTGGCACCGATATCGAGCTTTGGATTCCTTCCCCTCAACCCCAAACCCTAAAGGACCCCTAAACCCTGACTGATCCGATTCTAAGGTCGGTGCATCAAAGGGCACCCTGGAGAGTTAAGGCCTTCTAGGCATGGGGCTGCTGAGGGTTGGGGAGGGCTCAAGGCTAAGGACGGAATGAAGTAGAGGGCTGAATGCTTCTGATGCAGCTCCTGGGGACCGCGCCATGGTTCTCGCGTAGTCCTGCATGCAGACATGTGAGGCGTGGGGTTTGTAAAGCTTTCAAGGCGTCTGGCGTTCAGTTTGGTTCGGGGCCCGGCAGGGATCGCAATCTTGAAATGTAAACTTAATAAGGCGGCGCGATCTGTAGTTTTTTGGCTTACTGTAGGGCCTGGAGTGCAGAGTTTCGTATCCTGCTAAGCTTTCCCATACAACCGGCCTTGGTCGCATCCAATACCCTCGCGATTCCGAAGTCGCCCAGCTTCACATGTCCTGCATGGGATTTGGATTCGTGCAACGGCTTAAGGTGTAGAGTTTGGGATTCAAGTTTGAATGCTCGGGTAATCCGGGTAATCACAACTCCCAAACAGGGGGTCCCACTTCTGGAAACTCTGGCAAGACCGAAATCCCCAATGAAAACGCACCAGGACTCCAGCGCTCCGAAAGCTCGAACATGAAAAACTCCAGCTACCCTAAACCCGACCCCCCCTTTTTGAACCCCAAGGCCCAGCGCACCATTGGACATGAGGAAAATGTTCTGCGTCTTGAGGTCTCGGTGCAAGACCTGCGGTGTAGTGCTTGGGGCGGGCATCTGTCACTTGTAGCTTCGCATCAAGGTCGAATGTTGAGAGCTCTGTCCGGATTCTAGACTTCGACACCTGATTTGGCACTCAGTGATGGGGGTGGAAAAACCGCACGTAGGCTCTCGGGCAGTGGAACCCCTGACGCATACCGCAATCCCAGATAGCTGGGCAGCTGAGAGCTTCATGACTTATCTCAAGCCAAGCAGAACTGCAACAACCAGTAGCATTACCATGAAAATGATGCGGATGATTGCGACGACGAAGATGCTGATGATGCTTGCGAAGGATGCTGCGAGGACGACGGCGACGGTGTTAACAACGATGACGATGACGCGGAGGCTGGAGAAGGCGGAAGCAGGAGGAGGAGGAGGAGGAGGAGGCAGGACGACGACGATGACATTCGCACGACGACGACGACCATCATCATGATGGCGGGTGTGACGAATCTCATGTTGCTGCTCATCATGGTAAGCGAAGCTTAATCGCAACAGCGATGACACTGGTAATCCACGGGTCTAAAACGCCGTGAGCGATAAACCTATCAAAGATACCACACGCTGCACGATTCTGGGCAGTCGACAATCTACGGGCTCAGGCTCCACCGATCTGGATAAGAACGAGGAAAACCCCAAACACTGTGACTACGAACCCTAATTAGACAAGAAAGACCTGACTGCATTGTGAACTCGCCTTCCGTTCGTGCACATGCTTCAGTGCGAAGCAGGTCTGCACGAACCATTCCAGGATCTGCTCCTGCTTCAGATCTGCTAACGTATAGCTGGGCTTGGGATGTATATGGTTGCTCTGGGGCCTTTTCTTCTTGATCTATCTGTCTATCTAGCGCTATACCTATCTAACGATCAATCTATCTATGCATGTATTTGCGGATATATGTGTCTATGTATCCAATTATTGTTGTTCAGTTGTGCCTGCAGCTATTTACTTGCATGTGTCTGTATATGTGTGCATTTATGTATCCAGCTAGCCAGTTGTGTATGTGTTCTTTTGTTGGCGTTGCTCATTTACGTGCTTATACACATACCTGTTTACTTACAGCTTTACTTACTTCTTATTTATTCACGCACTATGTAGTTCATTGCATTTCTCTATTTACTTATTTGATAAGTTAGTTAGTGGGATAACGAGTAAATCAAGTAGTTGATTCTTCATTCAGGTACTGATTTGGTATGCTCTGTCTACTTGTTCTTCGAACTAGTTGTTATGTTTTGCGTTCATGCATGTATTTAATGTATTTACCTGTTTCTTTGTGTATCCATTTGTTTGCTGGTTTGCTTATTTATTCACGTTGTGCATATGTGTTCTGCACTTATGCATAGAACTATAGTTTGCATCAGAATAACATGTAAGCCACTGTATAAAGCAAATAACTACTCCAAAGAGCTGCCGGCTCTTTCGTCGTCTCCCTCCCTCCCTCTCCGTGGAGCGCTATGTAACCTGTATTGAAACCTCCACCCAACAGAAGCTCCAAACTCCGACAAGCTTTGTGGCTAAGGGCATGAGGTGTGTGGCCTTAGGGTTTCGGGTGCACCCTAAACCCTAAACCCTAAACCCTGAACCCTAAACCCCCCTAAACCCTAATCCCTAAACCCTAAATCCTAAACCGCTGCTTCTCAGCTTCTGGGGTCTCCTCCGGCAGCAGCGCGCCCTCGGGTCAGGCGAGGCTGGGAGTCTAATGAGGATTCCTGGATGTTCATGGGACCCCTACCCTATGATGGGCTATATAATGGGTATGTAATAGCTATATTAAGGGTATATACCTAGGGGTCCTTATTAAGGGTCCCTCCTAAACCCTAAACCGTGTGTCAACATGCTGATTCCCAGCGAAAACATTCACGGCAGTGAAGGGGGAACAAGACGAGCAACCACGAGGCTAAAGCTCGCCACCCATCCACAGAACCGCTAGCAATGTCACAGCTCCTACCCGGCCCACCCATTAACAGCTCTGCAAGACAGGGTTTAGTTCACGGCAGGGGCATTCTGGCTCGGAAGGACAGTCTGGCGCAGTGTTCCATGTCCACGCCTCTCGGCTCTTGATCTTCATATGGACATCACCACCGTCGGCGTAGTCCATCACCTGAGCAGAGTTGTTCCACCAAGGAGTGATTCCTATTACTGTGACCGATGTTCCCACTACCACTAGCAGTTTTTCCTCGTACTCACAGGCATGCAGAGGACTGAAGGACGAGTTGATCGAGCTCCACAGCCTGACTGCCCCGACTGCACCTTCTGCGCGCTGCTCAGGTTTTCCTTTCTTTTGCCATGTACGCCCCCATCTACTGCCACTGACCCGGAGACACAGACCAACTCAACAGCTCGAAGATGCTCTGAGTCCGAAGACAGACTCTCTGGCACGGCGTCGAGAGAGCACGTCGAAGCAGAGGGATTCATGGCATGGTACCCTTCCTAGTCCTTTCTCCAGTTCCCATCGACAAGAAGCTCTGAATTCTGGAAATACCAAGAGCATCGAATCGTCGAATGTCTGCAGTCTGGCAGTCTGCAGTATATATGCAAGATGTACTTATTGCCAAGACTCTAGACGCTGAGCGGCTCAGGACCCCAGCTCAGGGCGACGCGATACAAAGCCGGTGCTTTCTGGTGATGAAGACCTCCGAGCAGAGTCGGAAACGTCGGTTTCACCGTCCTCTTCGTAATGCACCCTATAACAGACTACAACAACATACCATAGTATGATATAATATACTAAACTGTACTATTATTATGCACTATAATAGACTCTATCTAGTAATGCACTCTTGCCCTCTCGATCGTCGACCCGGGGAGCTCTGATGTTCGTGCTGAGGGCTTGACGACCTCAACCACCTACTATCGGGTGAAACACGGATTCGGCAACCCTTGGGGTGCACCGAAGAAACGCTTGTGGAGCGGCTTGCGACTTGCTGGCATGAAGCGGGCAACAATAGACTGAAAATAGATTGCTAAGGCTTTGATTCAGTTCTTGCTTCTGATCGTTGCAACCCAACCAACTCGAAACCGTAAATCCTTCCGCAACGCTTTTGAATGATCCGTGGAGTCTGGTGAGACGGGCTGCGAGTTGCCGCTCACGCTCGGTGACTCAGAAACGTCCGCAGTTCAGGGCGCCAACCCTGTAGCGAGAGCGCAGAGTGAACAAGAAGGTCGGAGGGAGGCTCTGCATTACTGGCATTGGTATCGTCTTCACCTCACTGCTTATAGTGTTGCTGCTACGGTAACAATATTGGTGCGACCATGAATGCGCTTCTGTCATTCGTTGCGAATTCTGGTGACCACTGTTGTTACGAGCACCGTCAAGTTGAAGCAAGCAGGACTGGCGGTTGGGTCGGGGAAAGAGATTTCCTACTGCTAATTTCTTGAGGTTCCCATACAGCGCTTCACGCGGCTGAACCTTCTGCGGAATTCTTCTTGTCTTGCCTTCATGCCTAAAGGGATCATGCTTCCTGCCAGGAGAATTCTGAACTCCCCGAAGCCCTGCAGGCTTCCATCTATCGATGTTATCTGCTTATCTGCGTACCTCTCTATCCTCCTGTCTGTCCGACAACCTACCACAAATCTTTACAGCTATATACCTTGTAAGTCCGTGTGTATGTGCATGTGTGTACATATATGCAAACATATGTCTGTATATATCCACATATATATATATATATATATATATATGTATGTATGTATGTATGTATGTATGTATATATATATATGTATAATGTGTGTGCAGATGAACTCTTCGTCCGGCCTCCCGAAATCGCGATCCGTGCGGCCGGAAGGTGCGCCAGCCGCGCGGAGGCCCTGCAGGTTTCGTCAAACTTCTCGATGCCGGGGCCCTTTGGTCACTTGGGCTTAGGGTTTAGTCGTTCAAGGCTGTCGTCGGACTCAGAGGTTAAAGGTGAGCATCTACGGATCTACAGTAACTGTGATCTAACATTCAGGATGCACGCACAAGCCAAAGAGCAAAGCGGACGGCAAATACACTCACCTGTTACACTCAAGAGCTTCAAAGTGTCGTTAGGCGATATCTCATATGAGCACTACATACAAAGGGATGCACAATCATGGTTCGCATACACCTTTCAGTCACATGCCCACCGGAACCCTGAAGAAAGAGTGCTTTCCATGCCAGCACCGAGAGCCCGCCTCCTGCGGAGGATGTGCTGCCAGCGCCTTCACCGTCTCCGACATCAGCGCCTGCCATGGGAGGGACGATGATTCTCCTTGAGAGCCAAGGCATGGTACTACAATATACCATAGTCTACTATAATATACGATAATATACTATAATATACTATAATATCTACTGTAATATACTGTAATACCATAGTATAACTATCATCTGCTATTCTTCAAGGGAATGAAGCCCAAAGTAAACCGCCGCTGCTTGAACAGGAGCAACACTCGCCTGCACAATCCACAGGAAGCAACACCGAGAGTGCGACCTGTATTCCTTCATTATAAATGTTGACACCATGTTCCCTTCAAAAACTTCGAACTCTTCGGTTTCTGAAGCCGGCCGAGACCTTAAACCTCTCAAGGCTGGGACCTCCGCTCCGCCCTTGTTCAGCACCCGCTGTGCCGTCAAGGTCGATGGCTGCCAAGACAGACACTGGGCTGAAGGCTCAGGGCTTCGGTTCCGGGACCCCCAGGCAAGGCACGCGGCACGCGTTCATAACGCAGGTTCAAGTTTCGAGGCTCTTGGGCCCTGTCATGACCTGAGAAGCCCACAAAATCCCGTGGAAAGCTTGAAACCCTGCAGCCTTCGCACGCTCTTTGCGATGACACATACACACAAACGAAACCCAGGGCTTCTGATGGAGGTTCTGCAGCGTAGGGCCTGCGCGTTATCGTGTGATTCTAATCTGCAAGAGCTTCGGATTACACAAACTGAACTTCTCTGAACCCAAAGCCGTCTTTCATGAACACCTTGCCACAAAGGCCTATCCGAAACCCCGGGTCCCAGCGCCTTGGCTTGCACCTTGGTGTGCCACTGCATGTGGGCCGGAGCCTCTCGCACCTGGTTCACAGGGAGGGGCCCCTCAGTTCGTCTCTGTTCGGAGGTTAGAAACGCCACGAAGCCAGAGGCCAAAGAAGGAGGACAGCATGAATACCAAGTAGAATTATGGGCACCAACTGGCAGAATCTGAATGAACCCTACACTCCCTACACCTACAAGCACTCCGATCGTTGCTTCAATGCAGGCCGGCGCTGCGAAGTAGTTCGTGGCAAAAGGTGCCGTTGCGAAAGGCGCAACGGTGCCGGCTCGTGTCCACTGCTGCAGCCACTCCTGACGATTCCGCTGGCACAGAGCTGGTCTACACAGAAGTTCAGGGCTTTGGATCAAGGTGGGCAGCTCGGGTCCACAGGAAAATGAACTCCGACTCAAATGCTGAAGAAGGCTTCGGCACTTTGGGACCCGAGGATTCCTCTCCAGGGTCCCTGCTCCTACACATCGACGGTGCTTCAAACTTCCAAGAAGCCCTCTGAATCCTCGAAACTCGGTAGGGTGGCCTGAACACTACTACTACGACGACGAAGACGACGACTGCTGCTACTGCAAGCACTAGTACTAGTACTAGTACTAATCAGTCTGACTACTACGACTACTGCTAGCTGCTAGCTCCCCAAACTCAGTCTTCTGCCTCATGGCCATCCCTCGGTGGCTCAGCCATGCCGGAGAGGACCTCAAGAACGAGGTGACAGGGCTTTTGGGGGTTGAATTTCACCACCCTTTCGTCCTACTCAACGCATTACATGAAAGTACCCGAAATTCTCGGGAAAACTTTACTTGTTTCCGCCTTTACAATCCACCAGATTTCAACCTGTATTGAAGTTAAAGCCTCTAAGGGTCCTCGGAAAGAGACCTGAACTCTGGAATACACCTTAGGCTGCAAGGCGTGCTCCATGATCAATGTCTTGCAGGAAGAATGTCACACTGAGATCTGGTATAGGGTCCCTTTGCTTGTGAGCCAGGCTTCGCCTGAAGTTGCGAACCGTGGGACCCCCTCTCAACATCCTCATTCAAGCAAGGCTGCTTTGAATGGGGAAGCAGTAGGGGTCCTGGTAAAGATCCAGGCTCCCAAGTCTGTAAAGGTAGGAGACCTGCGTCGCGGAGCAAGGAACCCAGAATGCTGAAGGCCCACAAGCCTAAAGGCCCTGATCCAACCGAAGCCACAAAGGCCAAGACCCATGTGGGATTCCACGGAGTGGGCAGGACAATAGCAGGGACCCGGACCATGTTGCGGCCAATGTTCTTCAGGGCCTTTGGGCAGATCAGCAGGCTCTGGGCTTCTGTTCGCGGGCTTTGAGATGCTAGCCGCCAGCGTAAACCCAAGTGCGGCATCGGAGTCTTTAGCACTTTAGGTAGGGGCTTGTTAGGCTTGATGCTCGTCTGAGCTATGAAACTCCGTTGAAGGTTTGGGAGCGTAACAGCTTGTTGGGTGTGTAGAGCGCAATGTCACCACAACATACACCCTCCCAGAAACCCTTCATGCAGAATCGTTCCACGAGCTGTTTCTCGACTTGGGGGACCCATGTCGAACTCCAAAACACCCTACAGCGATCTGGAGTGCAAAAACCGTCAAGTCGGGTGAGTGGCATGTTGAGGGATTTCAGTTCAGTAGCACGACGAACTCCCAAGACTGTTGCCCACGAGAAGAGCTTAAGCCTCAATACCCGCAAACCGAGACACCAATTGCAGTACGCGCTACACTCCTGCTAACCTCAAGCCAACCGTAGACGCCTCCAAAGCAGCAAAACAGCCCTCGGTCCCGAAACCTCACTCGTCCCGAGCCCTGACACCTCTGCCCGGCCCGCAGACGGGGCATGGACGCCCGTGGCGCCACCTCCAACTTTGTGCAAAACACACCCAGAGACTGTTGGTCAGGAATCCTGTCATGAGTCCGGACATGATCCTTACCTCTGTGACATTGGCACCTTTGCATGTGATGTGTCGGTTGCGATAATGCCTATGGCTATGCCGAGGAGGATGAGGGGCAATCACAACGCACTGACGTGATGATGATGCTGATGATACTGATGATGGTGCTGCCGATGGTGATGATTATGATGATGATGATGATCACAGTGATGATGATGTTGGTGATGATGATGATGATGATGATGATGATGATGATGATGGCAGATCATGATGATGATGATGATGATGATGACGTTGATGACAACAATACTGACATGACAACAGTCATCACTAGTATCATCATAAGTTCATAAGCCATGAGCTTGTGGGTCTTGGCCTCTGCTCTTCTGGATGCCGCTACGCCACTGCTTGCTGTGAAACTTGCACTTGTCGTCGTGGCGCCGTGGCGCTCATCTTCTACGTCGGTGGAAGTTTCCGCTACCAAGGAGACGCACAAGCAGAAGTCAAGCTCTTTGAAACTCATAAAAAAAAAACCAGTAAACAGCAAGCACCTGACGAAGAAAAAAAACGCGTCTCCCTGAGAGCGATGCAGGAAAAAGAGCGGGGAGCCTCTTCCGGGCAGAAACTGCACATCCTCGGGGCGCAAGTCGAGGGAGGAGTCGAGGGAGGATGACCCGGACTTCGTGCGCTGAAAACGGTTCCCCACCCCACCAACTCTTCAGTCAGAGCCCATGAAACCCCGCTGCCCGGCCTCCCGGCCTCAACCCATCACTTCCTGCAGCCTCGAAACCTTTGGGAGGAGTACAGTCCGAAGCTCAGTCGCCCCGAAGCCTCTCGAACCCCGGGGGGCCCGGGCCCGGCCCTCTCAGCCCGGGACCATGGCGGTGGGGGCCCCGGGAGCCCCCGGGAGCCGGGAGTCTCGCCCGTCTTGTCTTGAGCCAAGATGATGAAAGTCCACGGGAAGTTAGGCGTTGGGATTTCGGATGTAGCCTGGGAAATGCCCAAGGGGAAGCACGAGGCACAGCTCGAAAGAATCTGTGCAAGCACATGAGCTCACACTTCTATCCTGACGCAGCTGTCCTGAAAGTGTATCACCTCACGCAATACACACGTCGCTGCTAAATCATCTTCTGCCTAGACTCGTATCTGATCCACAAGGGAACCCCTGCTAGAGCCTCTGATGGAATCCTGATGACCAACAACTTGCCCGATGAGGAAGGCTGTACCGATGATGAATACTACAGCCGGAGCATAGGGTCTCATCCTTAGACACGCTTGACGCATCTTCGGTACCGCACTCGATTTCAATTGGCCGATGGCTTTGGGTTGAGGTTTTGGTTTCCCTGAGCCATAGGCATACCCTGGACCAAGAGTCAGGGATTGAAAAACAGCTCCTGGTCTCGCAAGACTAGGGATCCTTTGAGGGATGCTCACGTTTGAGGATGCGAGTCTTTCCGATCTACCCCGCGATTCATTTTGGTCCGAAAATCCAATGAACGAAGCCGACAAGACCCCGTCCGCCACGGTGCGCCTCCTTGAACCGGACGATGTTCGGATGATCCATCTTCTTCCTCGGTCTGCCATCTCGCAGTGGCAGGGTGCGAAAGCTCTTGCTCAACACCTCCTGACAGGTCACTTGTGTGCTATTGTCGCAGCATGGCGCAATTCACGTGCTGGTGCAGGTGGAAGCCTTTTCACCTGTCTTCCTTCAGGACTTTGGAGGGTGCCTGAAATCTCAAAGCTTCGGCCCTTGAGGGACTCTGGGCCTTCTGACCCGGCATCGGGCTTCACTGGGAACAGATCTTCAAGCTGCCTCTTTGCCAACAGAGGGACGGCAACTGGTGGATGGGCCAACGTGCGCCCGCAAGCAAACTGCTTGCTCTTCCGATTCCTGCTCATCCCTAGCCTGGAACCATGACGTTGGTGGACGGTGGTGTGGTGCTCATTATCATATCGGGCTGACCCGTAGAGCGTTCATCGAGGACGCTGGTCTCTTTATAGACTCGGAAACTGCTGGATTCAGGCAGAGACGGAGTGTAAGGCGACGGAGGAAGCAGAGTAAATCACACCAGTGTCGCAATGGCACTTGAGGCAAGGAGCCGACCCGACTCGTTGAATTCCCAAGGCAAAGGGTCATGAATGGGATGACGGTTACAACCCCATGCACAGCTTACCCGACTTCAGCAGGAAGCCGAGGGCGCTGCAAAAGCATAGCTTCTTTCACTGCCTCGTTGCGCTCCTGGGGTGCCCGAACAACGTAGTAGTAGTAGTAGTAGTAGTAGTAGTAGTAGTAGTAGTAGTAGTAGTAGTAGTAGTAGTAGTAGTAGTAGTAGTAGTAGTAGTAGTAGTAGCGGTAGTTGTAGTTGTTGTTGTTGTCGTCGTTGTGGTTGTGGTAGTGGTAGTGGTAGTAGTAGTAGTAGTAGTAGTAGTAGTAGTAGTAGTAGTAGTAGTAGTAGTAGTAGCGGTAGTTGTAGTTGTTGTTGTTGTTGTCGTAGTTGTGGTTGTGGTAGTGGTAGTGGGTAGTAGGTAGTGGTAGCCTGGTAGCGGTAGTGCAAGTAGCAGTTGTCGTCTTCGTCTCGTGATCGTTGATGTGATCTGCAAGCCGCAGAGTGGCCTTGGCTTCCATAGCAGACGTCTCCATCTGCTTGACCACGCAGAGCTCATTTTCCTGACAACGCCACACAGCATGCCCACTAGTAGGCGACTAGTTCAGAGTTGCACCAGAGACAAAAGGGCGCGATTCGGATGTAGCTTCTGGAAGTATTCCAGATCAGAGACAGAGACCGACCAATGGCATGTCGACATTGGAACTCTCATTCCTATCAAACTTGCTAAACATGCGGCTTACAACAATGCCCACTGCTCCTGCACCCTGTGCCGCATGCCTGCACTTGCGAGTTGTAACTTGTCGCACCGCCCGGCAAACCCAGTGCCTAGTCAAGATATCTAATATAAACCTAGCCTCCTGTATTGACCCCATGTGTGCATGAAAAGTTCATCTTGAAGGTGCTGGGAGCATGCCGGAATCGGAGGTTCATCTGCAGATCTACCGCTACAGTAATTCTCCGAAGTTGAAGTTCAGTCGAAATCCTCAGTGCTCTCCGAATGGCCTGCACCACCCTGATGCCCTAAACCCTACACCGCTAAGCCCAAAGCCCCAAACCCTGCACCTTCAATGCAATCCCGATCCATCGCGAAAACAGCGCCTTGAAATCCCAAACCTGACAGCACAGTGGCCTCGGTGTTTCTTACAAGGTATGCCTTGCCAAAGGAGCCCTTGCCGAGAACCTGACAACCAGGAAATACGCGTCTTTGAGCCGCCTCTTACCCAATATCGAATAAAGGGATGTAGCGACAGTGTAGTGCCATGTACTTGTAACACGTGCAATCTGGTGTACTAAAGTATAGTAGGCATATAGTGTATGTATGTCCGTTATGTGTACGCGCGATGTATTGCTGCAGCAAGATTGGAACGACATTGCCCAGTATGACAGGATGCTGTTGCACGGTGCAGTGCTACAAGCATCGGTACAGATGTTGATACAGACATACATGCATCCATACGTACAAACATGCACAGGTAGATACAGTTACGTGCATACATACATACATGCATACATACATACATAAAGCAGTGCATGCATGTGTACAAAGATGCATGCGTACGTGCAGAGAGTGAGTCGGGGTGAGCCCCAGGGAAGGGAGATAACCAGAGCCGGACGGATGTATCGAGCCCCAGCACTCAACAGAATCACAGCTATCATCGCCCCTCTACCAATCTGGAGCCAGTCT